GAGAAACTTCTTCAACTATTGCATGCATGCGAGTAGCCTTCACTATTTTCCTCTCAAGATGCCAACAAAAGATTATATTAATTAGCGACTAGAACCAATGGCTTGCGCGTAAACGTGGGGACCCAAGCTTACCGCCCAAAACATCACCGCTGACCAAGTCACACTATGCTTTAGAGCCATATATACGCTTGGCTGCTGTCATTATCTTTTGCCTAATTAATGCTTCAAACTATGCTACTTTCATTCATTGAAACAATCAGTTTGTTGCGGGTGAAACCTAACTCTAATCAGGTTTTGTAATTATTTGATCTTTGGTCCAAGCTCGCTTTTAGAAGAATTTGGTGGTGTCATTTTCTCTGAGTTAGAGATAAGTCATGGCTAAAAGGTGATCCATTGAGATTATAGGCCCTAGTCTATATAATGTAAAACGGACCAAATCCATTTGTATGTTAAATTCTATTCTCGACGTAGTGTTTTTTGCTAGGTGGAATCAAGCTTTTTTTGCTTCTTTTTGAATGGAAACAGGCCGGCCGGGTGAATAATTTTTATGGTCAAGGCTTCATGAACTGTATGCGCTTGAAGTTTTAGAGCTTTTGACTGGACGGATGGAAATTGGATTGATGCAAATATGTAAACAGGGAGGGCCTTGTCTGCAATTTGCTCCCGTACTTAAAAATTTTATGCAGGATTTATGATACAGGCACACCATCAACCACACCTCCTCTCCTGCTACAGTGCAGCGGACCTCATGTGAAATTTTTTAATGGTGTGGTTGATGATGTGCCTGTAATGCCCCTCTTATTCAATAACAAAAGCGGCGGTGATGTTCGTACGTGATATCATGTCGCATAATTGAAGTGAAAGAGCTTTTCAGTGGGGAAAGCAGGGTTTGAATCGGACTTGGCATGCGAGTCTCATGCAGCCCATAATTAAAGCCACAAATATCCATTTTGGTCCCAAACCATTCTCAAGGGGGCACGGAGAAAAAGAGAGCACGTTTCCGAAAGGAGACATACCATTCGAAAAAGCAATCAAAAGGATTACATTGAGAACAAATCTTTTGCGGGGGTGGGGTGGGGGGTAAGGGGACGTACTCCCTGTCACGTGATTCCTTTGTTTGAGAGAAAATGATAGGGACACACCCCAATCACATTCCAAACCATACTCTTTCTCTCATATACTACAGTATACAGGGCTTCACATGAGATTTTAAAATTTTAAAATCCCATGTGGGGCCCGGTACACTGTAGCATATGAGAGAGAGAGTGTGGTTTGGGATATGGTTTGGGATGTGGTTGTGGGTGTGCCCCTAGTGCCACCCTTGTTTGAGCCTTTCTGGCATCGAGGCGTGGCTACTGACCACAACTCAGGCCGAGACCCGTCATCGATACGGTTTGGGGGGGGTGCGGTCACCGCCGGTGAGGCTATGCTAATGACAGATTTAATATATAGCTCTGTCAATACAGCGGGCCTATCGGCTTCGTGGGAACTTATTCATTTTAGGCTAATTAGCACCTAAATTCCTTATACTTTTCCCTACTTTGAATTTGTACGTTCTCACTTTTTTTTTTTTTTTGCAGCACTTATATGTATACCGAAGTTTCTAGGATTTGCGCTTTTATATCTTTTGTTTATGTAAAATGTGAGAATTTATCCCCGAATTTTTCCATGTGACATTCACAAAACGTTTTTAAATTTTTTTGACCCTTGATGTTTTTATAATTAAAATTCACTTTTAAACATATCGTGATTCTATTTTATACCTATCGCACTGATATTTTAAAATAGAACTATGGTGAGTGTGATAGTTGGTGTAGCTAACATTAAGGTTAAAAAAAGTTTTAAAATTAGATTTTAAATGTCAAATTGGAAAATTTGGGGGAAAATCCTCATATATACTCGCACAATAACAAGCATTAAAATGTAATTTTTTTAGAAACTTCAGGGTGTATAAGTGCTATTGAAAATAAGTGAGGATATATAAGTGCAAAATAGGGAAAAGTATAAGGGATTTAAGTGCTAATTAGCCTTTATTTCAAGACAACTTCTGTTGGTCTTTTTATTTTGATATGCTCCAAATACTTTCTTTTCTTTAGAGTTCCATTTTGACATTTTTCTTTCAGATAAAATCTAATATACTAAGATGCCTTAAAGTGCTCAGGACATTTCAGTCAATTTGTTCTATTTGAAATAACTTAAAATTTTTCAAAGATCATTTCAAAATACGCAAACTTTTTTTTTATCCTTTAAAAAAAATTCCCCATAAAGATTTAAAGCTATGACTTGGTCCCGCCTTAAGGTTGGAGGTCCCACCTCTGTTGCTTACAAATTGGGCCTTCAAATTGATCAAATCTGAGGGTCCGGTTACTTTTTGTCCAAGCACTGTGAAGCCCTACATAAAAAGCTAATAGGCCCATTTCTGCGAATTGGGCTACCTTTGTGTTTTTTTTTAAATAGGCATAGGGGAGCTATATCGTTCATAGTTCATTGACCTAACCGCGCTTTTAAAAAAAAGAGTGCTAATGTTCAAACCTTGGGTAGGTCTACAGACTGGAGTAATGTCGTATTGATGTCGGCCACATACAAAGGGAGAGAAAAGGAGGAGAAATATCTTTTTTTTCCCCACCTTTATTTATTCTCTTCTGAAGTATATTTTAATGTAGGATCTGCGAGTAAGGGATTTGATTGGCAGTTTTTCCCTAACAAATCATCAAGTAGTCTTTTGCCTCCCCCTTTCGCATGAGAACATAATGGCTATGGATATTTGAAATATATATTTCTAGGCTAAATATCTATATTGGTATTTTAATTCCACCACATTTACTAAGAAGATATTTTAATTAGGCAAATCTGATTTAAGGCATTTTTATTGATTCAACTTACCAACAATGTCATTTTTCTCGTCGGCGACTAGTTTTCCGGCGAGAGCTCGTCACGTGTGTGGCACGTAATGACTTAAACTATTTTTTAGCTGCTGATGTGGTACGGATCTGTCCTATTCTGGGTGAATTGGGATTGTTAGATGGTTAATTCCCGCCTTTAAACACTATCATGTCATCAAATCCGTGCCACATCAGTAGCTAAAAACAGTTTAAGTCATCATGTGCCACGCACGTGACGAGCTCTCGCCGGAAAACTGGTCGCCGATGAGAAAAAGTGCCTTATTGGTAAGTTGAATCAATTAAAATGACTTAAAACAGGTTTGCCTAATTAAAATACATTTTTGATAAATAGGATGGAATTAAAATACTAATATAGGTATTTAGCCTATATTTCTATTTGCATCCTCCATGGTTGATTGGACTGTTGCTAGTTAGTTAATAACCGAATCGAATCGAACAATCGCTAGTTTAGGTTCGAATCTAGTTCTTATGATACTATTTGAATTTCGAATGAAATATTAAAATAAAAAAAAATAAAAAAATATTAAAAAATTCCAATTCTAAGAGTTCAGCATATTCTAAGGCCATGTTTTGGATTATTCATTATTTTGAGTTAATAAGTCTTTATTCTTTAAGATAAAAAAGCTACTTTTGGTTCAAAATTTTAGGAGGGATTAGATGGGACTATTTAGTCCATTAAAATGAAATTGCCCATAGATTTAAGACTAAATAACGCACGACAAAGTGAACTTATTATAGTCCTAGGTAGGGGTGCATATGGTTCAGATACAGTTCAGATATGATACTTTATCGTATTCATGTGCTAAAAAATAGCTTACCCTTGGCATCATGCCTCAATTCTATTTTATAGTAGATCAAAAGGGAAGATAGGTAACTCTAACCGACTCTTGCTGGTGGCTTGGTCGTTATCTACTTTATAGGTGTTGGCTGCTAAAGGGCGTGAGTCATCCCAGCATTTAATGTGGGAACGACAAGAGGCACGTAGTGTTGACGAGGTCCGATGAGTCATAAAGACTTTCGGGGATGGAGTAATGATGATTCTGATCATGCATTTAAGGTGATGGTGATTGACGATCGGCGGGGGGCTCGAGGGTGCACTGCCTTCCGATTCGTCTCACTGGAGGTCGGTAAACACTGCCTTCTTAGTCAATCTCTCAAGATATCGGCCTGGAAGAGCCGAATACCAGCAAGGAGTGGAGTCGACTAGGGTGGTAGGCTAAGTGCAGATGCTTTTCGTCTCGATCCGGTGGGTAGGTCGATAAATACTGTCTTTTTAGTCGATCTCGCAAGTTGTCAGCCTTTTGTGTCGACCGTTAGAGTTACTCGAGTCGTATCCCTCTATATATTTATATATATAGAGATTAATGGGTATCCTTGTCATAGGAGGGGATTTCCTCCTTGACGCCTCTAAAATCACATGATTGAGTGACATTATGGATGATCCGCTCCGTTGAACTTGATCTACATATTCTAAAACCCCAACACACCAAGTTTGGGGTGAACCCGTCGTCGTTTGACCATTCATCCACTCGTATCAATTTTAACGGTTTTGAATGAATAGAACTTTTCACATGGCTCGATAGAGGGTCAAACGACGACGGATTCACCCCAAACTTGGTGTGTTAGGGTTTTAGAATATGTAGATCAAGTTCAAAGGAGCGGATCATCCACAATATCGCTCAATCATGTAATTTTAGAGGCGTCAAGGAGGAAATCCCCTCCTATGACAAGGATACCCATTAATATCTCTCTCTCTCTCTATAAGATATGGTACCAGCTGAGAAGTTAATGAATGGGCCTATGGAAGAATACAAAAGAAGAGATGCCTTGTAACGGGATCTAGACGGTCATCAAATTATGGACTAGTACCCTATCATCTTCACACTAGTCACAAACCATTTAAAGGATTTGTAATTGTCCACTCACAATAAACATTCAGCACATAGTCCACAATAACCTAGCAAGTTTTGAAAAAAAATGGACCTACTGCACCAGAAGGATATCGAGATTTCGTATTGAAAGCTCACGCTCAGAAACATGAAACAAAATTATTGATAGTACTACCATCAACCAATTTAGATGCTTAACCTCAGTGAGTAGACAAAATCAACAAATTACATATGCCAATTTATTGTTCTCTATAGGTCTTTCTTCAAATGTAAATAAAACAGATCTCATCGTATTCTCACCAAACCAAACAGATGCTCAGACACACTAATACAAACATTTTATGTCATTCTGTAATAAGATGACTACATGTAAATAACCAAAACAAACGAGCACAAACCTGAGTGGTTATATACAAGTGTATATGATGTGTGTCTAAGATCACCCCAATTACTTTGTCACAGCATCCTGTTGACAACAACAATTGCAGCTCCCCGGCCAGAGAAGGGATCGTCCTGTGAACATTCAGCAATTTTCAGAGATTCAACAGCTCGGGCTGCCATAATTCCCGGAGAAATATCTGTTCCTTGACAATTCTCTGCATAAAAAGGCGACTGAAGATCTGTTACACGTACTCCTTGTGGCAATGCTTGTTTGATCTCCCACTCATTCCACTTGCAACTAGGATACTCTGCAAAGCTTTGATAACCCATGAAAAGCCCAGTGTTACTATAATTTCCACAAGAGTTATATCTGCTATTTGTATTTAGCATGAAATGATGAGATTCTTCTGTATCTTCTCCAATGAGGACATGTAAAGCTACAGCCTCAGCTATAGCAGCTCCTTCTTTGTCCAGCCTTTGCTGTTCTTCTAATTTCTTCTGTTTTTTCTTCTCCAGTTCAGACCTTATAGCTGCAGAGGTCGCTAGTGCTTTCTCTAAGCGTCTTATATATATATTATTTATATATATATATGAGAGAAAAATGGGTATGCTTGGTACCAAGCATAAGTTTTTGTGTTTGGTAGTGAGGTGGTATATTCCTCTCCACTCATTAAAATCGGTGCCCACATTCACATGGGTTGGGGAGTGGTTGGGAATTAAAATTAGTGGATGGTAATATGATACATCACTACCAAGCACAAAATTTGTACTTGTAGGCTGTCTAAAAATCACAATAGATAGCTTATCCCCCATCAACCACCGATGATGGAAGTTACAATCTGACGACTTCCAGAAGGCTACAATTTGAAGACTTTCACGTAGATCGCTGAAGGTTACAATCTGACGACCTTCACGACAGCCGATGAGAGCTCTAGTTCAACAGCATTCACAATCAACATCGGGAGTTACAATCTGACGACTCTCATATTCTCAAGGAGCCAAGACGAAGATTACAAGACAATGATCTTTGCAACGCTATGACAAAGGCAAGACGCGGAGGTCCTCCCCGTGTAACAACATCAAAACGCGGAGGTCTTCCCCGTGTGTCAACAGTAAAACGCCAGGGTCGAACCCGCGTTACAACATCAAAACGCCAGGGTCGAACCCGTGTTACAATGTCAAAACGCCAAGGTCGAACCCGCGTTACAACATCAAAACGCCAGGGTCGAACCCGCGTTACAAACGCCAGGGTCGAACCCACGTTACAATGTCAAAACGCCAAGGTCAAACCCGCGTTACAAACGCCAGGGTCGAACCCGCGTTACAATGTCAAAACGCCAAGGTCGAACCCGCGTTACAACATCAAAACGCCAGGGTCGAACCCGCGTTACAAACGCCAGGGTCGAACCCGCGTTACAATGTCAAAACGTTAAGGTCGAACCCGCGTTACAACATCAAAACGCCAGGGTCGAACCCGCGTAACAAGCGAAACGTGAGCGACCCTCGTGTTTTGGATGTTCAGTCAACACCCAACCTCGCGTCTCAATCATAAGACGTGAGGTTAGGGTCCTGAACGCCAACGTGGGCGTTTGACTCATTCAACATGAGTTGAACGGTTCTAAAACCGTTTCCCACGATTTGGGGGCTGTTACACCCCACTTAGGAGAGATTTAAGGGGCGGTTTCACCCCCTTAATCCTCTATAAATAACTGAAGATCAATTCAGTTCAGGGGGCTAGTCGGTTGGATTTTTTTGGCTTGGTTTTCGGTTGGATTATCTGGGCTTGGATCGACCACTGGAGAGAGGTTTTTTGAGGAGATCGGCATCATCTTCCAACGAAGATCATCTTCAACTTCAGCAACAGAGAGCCTCTGTCCTTGGCTTATAACCGACTTTCGGTTCACATCAACTCTTTTTCAAGAGTTAAAACTCGTTCAGAGTTATCAACTCATCAAGAGTTTTAAACTTGCCACGCAAGTTCTCCATAACGTCAAATCGTGAGGAGAAGATATCATTCCAGTGAAGCAAAACATCGGATCGTCAACGGAGAGCAAACTCGACGCAAGCACTCGAGGGAGGCACTCCATCGCCACCGTGAAGAACCCAGTTTTAAACAAAGGAGAGAATCAAATTCATTCTCTTCTCTTTTGTAATCAAATTTGAGATCCAAAGTATTCCGAAAATTCGTCCCAGTCAACCGCGAACTTTCGAAAACTTTGGAGGGGGTTCTGTAGGCTGTCTAAAAATCACAATAGATAGCTTATTCAAACAAGCTCCAACAATGAAAGTCACAATCAGACGACTTTCTAAATCACTGCATCCGTAACTCCACAATCGCCACAAACGCGACCTCTGCTGAATCAAAGAAACCGATTTCGTTCTCCTCTCTTTTGTAATCAAGTTGTAATCGGAATCAAAGAAATACAAGTCAATTTTCTTTATTCTTTTCATTGCAATTTTTCCTACAAACAACCTATAGAGGAGACCAGCTCCATAAACGTCAACGACGTTGCTGCTAAAGCCTTAAAACAGGCCAAGAAGAACGCTGCTTGTCGAAGAAGAAGGTCTCAGCGACGAGCACAACTTCGAAAAAGTCAATCCTCCAACCAACGCGAACTTCGCGTTCGTGAGCCTAAACGCGACCCTGAACTTCGCGTTTATGAGCCCAAACATGAGCTTCGCGAGAACCAGACTGAACGCGGCCCTCAATGGCGCATTTTACAGCCAAAACGCGGACCTCAAGCCTTCGTTGAACGCGAACTTCAACTTCGCGTTTCCCAGTCAAAATACGACCCTCGCGTCGATACTGAAGAGCGCGACCTTCGCGTTTCAAGTACCAAACGCGACCTTCGTGTTTCAAGTGCCAAACGCGATCTTCGTGCCAAACGCGACTAAGGCTTTGAAACAGGCCAAGAAGAACGCTGCTCGTCGAAGAAGAAGGTCTCAGCGACGAGCACAACTTCGAAAAAATCAATCCTCCAACCAACGCGAACTTCGCATTCGTGAGCCTAAACGCGACCCTGAACTTCGCGTTTATGAGCCCCGACTCGCTGACCGGGCAGCGAGACCCCCGAATTCTCTGCGTAGCGCGACTAGGTTGAGGGGCGGATATAAGAAGTTTATGGATTCAAGGCATCTCAACCAGATCCATATTCACCAAGAGCCAGTCCTGTCCAATCATGGACTGGGGGTTTCAGTTCAAACCTCACAATCAATGAGTAATTCTCCTCGAATCTTTATAACAGATTCGAGAGAGTTCACATCGAGAGAAAGATCGATGCAACAAGTCATTCGTTCATTTCAATGTGAACGACTGATTCCTACGGTCCTCTCAGGACGCCAATGCTGCTCATATGCGGCCCAACTGCTGGTGTTCAACCAATTTACGAACGTTGCTTTACCCAACCAACGACGGCGTTCACACAAGAAGAAGACTTCTGAGGATGAATACCTTAGAGTCACTTCTAACATGATCGGCAGAGGGAGATCATCAGTTCCTAGTTTCGATGAGTCAGAGAACGATCAGTCTCCTGGCTTGAAAGACTTCCTGAATAAGTCTGATGGAGTTTATCAACATACTCGGACGCGAACAGGAGCCATTCCCCCTGTCAACTATCGGAGTTTAGCCAGGGGAACCAATTCCAATGATGAACACTCAGCCATTGCAGAGTCCCAATCATCAAGCTCTTTTGTTGAACATGAGAGCTCCGCTTATATGACGGGAGGCCATGAAGATCTTGCAAAGAGACTGGATGAGCAAGAGGCCATGCTCAAATCTCAGCAGGAGGCCATCAATGAACTCTTGGCCCTGTTGACTCAACTTGTCGCAGACAAGGCCAAATCTCAGAAGATAGATTCGCCACTCAGGCAAGAATCTTCCCGAAGGAAAAGAACGTCTTCGTCTCGACCTCACACAAGCAAAGGGAAGGGAAAAATGGTTGATGACACGGCTTCTGACCAAGAAGCCCACAACCTGGAATCTTCCTCTGATGAAGGAAGAGAGACGGAGTATGAGCAAAATCCTCAGTCGGCTAAAATCGAGGAATTGGAAGCCCACCTCAATGTCATTGCTAACAGAAGCGAGCTCCAAGATGAGGGAGTTGTCAGGCCCTACCCTGCCGAATGGGACGCAGCCCCTTATCCTCCAAAATTTGAAGTCCCGACGCTACAAACTTTTGACGGCACGGGATCACCGAACCAACATATTTATCATTTCAAGTCACAGACTGGGAATGTAATATCAAACGATGCTATACTGCCTCGATTGTTCATTGGCACCCTTAAGGGAGTTGCCTTTGAATGGTTCAGGAAACTACCTGCCGGATGTATCCAAAGGTGGGCAGATTTAGAGAGACTCTTCCTGTCAAGATTTTTTGAAGAGGATACAGAAGTCTCCATCCATATCCTTCTCGCCACTAAGCAGAAGAAGAGGGAGTCCGTCAAAGCCTTCGTTAAAAGGTTCCGAACCATGGCTCTCCGGTGTTCGTCAGGTATGGCACAGTCTACCTTAGTAGAGACCTGTCGACACAACCTGCAGACCAACATCCTAGCTCGAATAGGGGTTGCAGAATGTCGTTCTTGGAGACAACTGATCTCTCAAGGCGAACAGGCTCAGAAGATTATTGCCAGGATCAAAGCTGAAGAACAAAGTGGGCAAGATCAGCCCGAGCAATCGGACCAAGCCCAATCTTCTCCTGAGCAATCGGACCAAGCTCATTCTTCCCAGTCAGAACCAGAAGATACTACGACCACTGAAGCTAATCCTCTTCAGTAGGATGCCGGGTCTCCAATAACTATCACGTTAACAACTACCTCTGATAGTCAAGCTCGTTAGATTGTGGCCCACTAGGCAACGTGCCATGTCTACCCTTTTTCCCCATGCACTTATTCAAGACTGGGGGTTGAATTATTTGTAGTTCAGTTAACATTTACCTCTTCACGTCCATCAACTTGTCAATCCGCTTCAATAGGATGGCAGGTCCACAAAACTATTACGTTAACATTTACCTCTGATAGTCCCTCAACTTGTCAATCTACTTCAATAGGATGGCAGGTCCACTAAAACTATCACGTTAATGATCACCTCTGATAGTCTGCTTTCTCTAAATTCCCCCACCAATCCTCTTCAAATAGGATGGCGGGGCTAACAAAACTATCACGTTAATGATTACCTCTGATAGTCCATTCCCTCCAAATTCTCTTGCCAATCCTCTTCAACAGTCAGAACCAGAAGATACCACGGATGCTGAAGCCAATCCTTTCCAATAGGATTGCGGGTCCAAAAACTATCACGTTAACATTTACCTCTGATAGTCCATCAACTTGTCAATCCGCTCAAATAGGATGAAAGGTCCACTAAAACTATCACGTTAATGATCACCTCTGATAGTCTGCTTTCTCCAAATTCTCCCACCAATCCTCTTCAAATAGGATGGCGGGTCTATCAAAATTATCACGTTAATGATTACCTATGATAGTCCATTCCTTCCAAATTCTCTTGCCAATCCTCTTCAAGTAGGATGGCGGGTCCACAAAAACTATCACGTTAACAGTTACCTCTGA